ATGGCAGGATCAGTGTAACAGCTGTGTCCTTCCCTGTGGGCAGGGCCTGGCTCCGGGCTCTGCAGATCAAGGTGGCTCCATCATCATCACTGGAAGGGGTCAGGAATAAAGTGTTTTCCACTGTCCCAGTGGTCTTGTCCTTCAGCGTGGTCTGGAGGTGATAGAAAGACAATGGTTATTTCTTTTCTTTTCGTTTTTGGGCAGGGTCTCACTATGAAGTCAAGGCTGGCCTTGAACTCATGCCCCTCAGTCTCCCGAGTGCTGCGGTTATAGGAGTCTATTACCACACCCCATGTTAACAATGATTTCATCTATAGCTTACATAGGCAGTGCTTACAATGTATTGGATACTTTTAGACACTCGCATGTTTAATTTAATTCTCCATATTATCCTATGAAGTAATGCTACTCCTTTTTCCCCCCATTACATAAGGAAACCGAGGGACAGAGAGGTTAAACACTATATACAAGAGCGAGTAATTAGCAAATGACTGAACCAGGAAGTCTGGCTCTTGACCTGAATCATATTTCAACCCTGAATGGCTGCCATTCCCTCCAGTCTGTGATCAAAGTGGACCCTGAGTCTTATGAATGACCAAAGAATGGCAAAGAGATTCAGACTAACCTGGTGGAAGGTGGTGCCATCCAGCCGGATCCCATCTCGGAACCACAGCAGTTCAGGGGCGGGTTGGGCATCCCCTCGACTCCGACACGTCAGATTCCCAGGAACTCCAGCAACCAGAGACACGGAGGGGCCGCCTAGTACCTGGGGGGGTTCTGGGGGGACTGCGTGGCAGGTCGAGAGTCAGAATAGCTTTCTGGAAGCAGAGCCCCTGATCCTCTCAGCTCCACCCACCACTCCCCTAGAGATTCTAGACTCCGACACTCCCGCAGTAGTCCTAGCGGTCCCTACTTGCCATCCGCAGCTCCCAAAGCACAAATGGGCTGGGCCCTCACCCATCCTCACCCATCACGTGCAGTTGGGCAGGGCGTGATCGGAGGCCCGCTTGTGAAGCCTGGCACTCATATAATGCTTCATCTTCCAATTCCACAGGCTTAATGTGAAGGTCATGCTGGCCACTGGCTGCATTGCCTGATATCCAGTACCGGGACCACCCTGAAGATGGAAGAGACCCTACAACATTCTGAATTCCTGGCCTCAAATCTTCATCGCCAGGAATCCCGCCCCAGAGAGCAGAGTAAGAACCACGCATCCCATGCTAAAACACTTATATTAAAACGTAGGTGCTGGGACCAGGTGTGGTGGTGCACATGTTTAAATCCCAGCACCCGGGAGTTCGAGGTCATCCTGATCTATACAGGGAATTCAGGCTGGCCAGAACTCATAGTGAGACACTGTCTCAAAAGAAAAGAAAAGAAAAGAAAAAAAAAAAGGTGCATGCTCGGTCCAGAGAGATTCTAAGCCTCCTGCCAATTTATAGTAGCCACAAATTTGGAAAGTCAAGTTCCCATCAAAGTTAGGTTAAGCCCAATGTGGGTGGTGTCTGCTTGTAATTCCAGCGCTCAAACGGCTGAGGCAGGAGGATTTCGGGTTTGAGGCCAGCCTGGGCTGCAGAGGGAGACCCCAATTCAAACAACAAAACAAAACAAATCACCGAAAATAGTAGATAAAACACTA